AGGCTGCGGGTGGGAGCCCCTGCAGTGACCCCCCCCTGCAGTGACCCCCCCCGCCCCAGCCCCGCACCTCATGGCTGGGAACTGCCTCATCCTGGAGTCAGCAGGACCTGTCCAGCCCAGCCCTGTGCTGGGGTCCCCCCCCGCACCCCCCCCCCCACCTGGGTGGCTGCCTGAGTCACTCCAGGGGTGACTTCATCTCTGGGGCTCGCCCCGCCTCAGCCAGGCCTGAGGCTGGGGTGACGGGCAGAGCCCCCGGGGGTGCGGGGAGCCCCAGAGCAGGGGCACGGCAGGCGAGGCCAGGCTGCGCCACTGGCTCCAGCTGCTCTGGGGTGTCCCCAGGCTGCGGCGCCCGGTTGCGCTGCCGAGGGCCACCGGGACACGTCCCCAAGAGCCAGGAAACACATGGAGCCAATTGTGTGTTCCTAAGGACACGCCTGGGTGTTTACAGCCCCGCCAGCGTCACCGGCACAGGCACCGCCGTCCTGCCCGGGGACACCCCGCGCCCACCACCAGCCACCCGCCCCCAGGGAGCCCCGAGCACGGTGGGATGGGGGGCTCTGGCCGCGGGGGGGTCGCGCCTGGCTCTGCCGGGAGGGTGAGGATGGTGAGGATGGCTGGCTCCTTCCTCGCAGCAGTGAGCGATGGCTCCCCTGAGCCCGCCGGGGCGACGCGAGGCACCGCTCGCCACCAGCGCGGAGGCTGAGCAGCTCAGCCCCGTGGGGCTGGGGGGCCAAGACCCCCAGGCTGCAGCCCCCCGCCTCCCCCTCCCCGGCGGTGCCTGGCAGGCCGGGCCGGGCGGGTGGAGGTGAAGCGGTTCGGCTGCACCCTCCTGCCGGGGTGTGCCCTGCCGGGCCCCGCCGCTGGCCCCACGCCCGTGGGAACTCTCCCACTCGCTGCCGGCAGCTCCGTGGCGAGGCCTCGGCCCGGCACCGCGCAGCCGTGCCCAGCGGCATCGGCCCCTTCCGCGGCTGTGCCAGCCCCGCTCGCTGCAGGAACGGGATCGCTCCCCTCCCCGGGCTGGGGGCCTGGGGGAGTCGTGGAAGAAAAGGGGCCCCCCGGGCTGGGGGCCTGTGTCTCCTGCAGCCGCGGGAGCGAGGAACCCTCCCCTCTTCCCTCCTCTCCCCTCTCCCGTCCTCTCTCCCGAGCCCGGCGTCAGCTCTGCCCTAATCCCATGACCCCGCGCCTGCGAGGGGAATGCAGAGACTTGCGATAAAATCCCTGTTTGCCAAAACTGTGAAATCAGCCAGGAATTCAGTCCAAAAAGAAGGAAAAAAAAAAAAAAAGAAAAAAAAGAGAGAAAAGAGAAAAGCTGCTGCCTGGGGCTGGTGGGGGATTTCCCCAAAGAAGAAGGGCTGGGAATTCCCTTCCTTCGAGGGACAGGACTTCCAAGAACCAGCCCCCAAAAGATTCAGGGCTCCCAGTTGACGCTGGGGCTGGTGGGCCAGGGCAGCACCGAGGGTGGTGGGGGAGCCAACACCACAGTCCTGCCCCACACCTGCCCTTGCACCGGCCGGGCCCCGTGGGAAGCGTCCCCGCGGGCCCCCGGGTCAGCCCCGGTGCGTGTGAGCCGCTGCGGGGGCTAAGCCACAGGGCCCGGGTTCGCTAAGCGGATTGCGGGAGCTGCGTGTGGCCTGCAGCAGGATTTGTGGAGGTATTTGCACGTCGGATCGTCTCTCCCCAAGCTGCTCAGCCGTGCGGGGTTTGGAGAACGCTCCCTCTGGAGACGGCAGGAGCCTCTGATGCCGCACAGCAATTATACCCAAGTCTGACTATAATCTTTAACGATTTATTCCCAGGGCAACACAATAAACTAAACACACAAAATCCTGGCTGCTGGGAATCCTGGGATCTCCCAGCTTGTGTCTCTGGAGGCTCCAGATACTTTCAACCATACTGAAATCTGCACATGCTTCCTAAAGCGCCAGCTCCCGGAGTCACGGGACCGCCGGAGGAGATGAGCTTCCTCCCAGGAAGGAGATGGAGCCATGCGCTCTGCGGGGAGGGTGGCGACTGGGAACGAGGCTCCTTGGGGCTGCAAGGACGTGGGGGGGTGCCCTGCCCTCAGGGCACGGCACACTTTGCCAACCGACCCGAGGGGGCCGCGCTCCCAGCAGCTGCCCCATGGCCGGGATATCCTCTTGTCCCTCCCCACGGATCTGGGGGGCTGGCGGCCGGGCTCTGCTCCCCGAGGAGGCGGTTTTGGGGTGACGCCTCATCCCCACCATGGCCCCTCCCGATGCAAAAGCCCAAACTGCAGCAGGGCCAAATACAGCAAGCTAGGGCCGCGGCCCCCCGAGGGGCCGCTTCGCAGGCCCGGGGCTCTGCAGCTCCCGGGGAGAACAATGGCGTGTCCCTGCCCCGGCCCCTCTCCCAGGGACAACAATGGCAGGAGCTGGAGCCGGAGCCGCCTGCGCTCATCTCCCCCCTGAGAGCCCAGAGGGGGCCGGGGCGGGTGGGGGGCCGCGGGCTGCGCCACAAAAGCTCCGTCCCAGCCCAGCGCTGCGTGGAGGGGCCTCACTCCCACCCCAGCGCGGCTCTGCAGCGATCTGCGCCCACCCCGGGGGAGGCCGCTCAGGAGGGAAATGGCGGCAGCGTTTCAGGGCTACAGAGAGCTCCCCCCTTCGCTGTTGCCCCGTGGGGGGGGGGGATGCGCAGCCCCCTCCTCGCTGCAGATCCCCCCTCCAGCGTCTTTGTGTTTCCGTGTGCCAGAGCATTGTCTGCGAGGGAGAGACCCGGCGGAGTCAGCCTGAGGTCACACAGCATCTCCCCAGCATCCTCCCTGGACAGGCCATGGGCCTCCCACGCCCCCCACATGGGGGGGAACCGGGCTGTGGCCTCTGCTCCGGGGCACCAGGGCATCACCCCCAGCACCACTGGTATGCCAGCCCGCTTCTCCTCCACTCCACAAAACATTGCAGGGCTGAGTCTTTGTCCTGGCTGTGAAATAGGCGGTTGGGCAGAGGGAATCCCCAGGGGAGGGATGGCCCAGCCTCGCTATTAGACATCAGAGACTCTCCACTGGGAACCACTTTGAAGCTCAGCTCCCCAGGAGAGCTCAGCCCCTCGGTTCCCTGCGTACCGACTAACATAGACCCCAGTGACGGGGCACCTGGATGGGGAGAGGTGTCCAGACTGTACCCCGCTCCCAGCACCCGCGGGGGCGGGTCCCCCGTGTCCCCCACTCCCCACCCGCGGGATGCAGCGGCCCCGTGTGCTCGTGAGTGGCGGGGGGCTGAGCAGGGATCGAGACCCCCGGAGGGGCAGAGCCGGGACCCCGGGAGAGGCTGGGACCGGGAGCAGGGGGACGCCGAGACGGGAGCCGGGACGGGGTACAGGAGGCTGGGACCCCCAGGGCAGGGACCGGGAGGGACAAGAGCCGGGACCCCCCCCGGGAGCGAGTTCGGCCGCGTCACCTGCGGGTCCCGCCAGGGCCGAGGCCGGGGCCGGTGCCGGGGCCAGGCCGGTCCCTGCCCCCGCCAGGCTCCACCCCGGGCGGTGCGGGATAAAACTTGGGGCACCTCCCCGGCAGCTCCGCGTCAGGGCTGCGCTCGGGCCGGCTCCAGTGCTCGGGAGGGGGCAGCGCACCTCATCCCCCCCCTCCGGGAACTTTCTGGGGGTCTCTTCTTCCCTTCGGGCCGTCGGAAGCAGCTCAGCCCCGGCCGCGCCGGGGACCCGCGGGGCCGCGCTCCGGGCTCGGTGAGTGGGGCCGGGGTTGGCGGTGGGGGGGTATCCACGGACCGGAGCTGCGCGGACTCGCCGTTCCCGGAGCGGGCGGGGTGGCCCCGGGAGCGCTCCCCGCCGCCGGGACGCTCCGTATCTCCGGTCGCTCGGGGCTTTGCCTTCGGGGCACGGGCTCCCCTCGCTCCGGCTGCCGGGGACCCCAAGCGCGGCCTGCCCCGAGGTGTGTGTGGGGGTCTGTGTGCCCCACTCACCCCCCATTGCGCCCCGGGGAGCGGCCCCCCGGCTCCGGGGGGGGTGGTGGACGGGACGGGACTCTCCGTTCCGCGGGCTGGTTCGCTCCGTGGCGGCGGGCGGGCAGCGGCCGCCGGGCCCCTTGGTGTTTGGGCGAAGGCTCCCCGGGCCCCCCCGGACCCCCCCCCGGGCGCAGGAGGCGTGGCGGGGCCGGCAGGGGGCGCCCGCGCTTTGCTGACTCATAGTCGTGTCCCCCGACCCCCCCCCCCGCGGCCGTTCCGCCCCCCCGGACCGGGGCCGCTGAGTCCCCGCGGCGGGATGTGGCGGGGGGGGTTCAGCCCGGTGCCCGGGCAGGTCCCCGCCGCTGTAACGGCGTCACCGGGCGGGTGCGTGTGACCGGGCGGGTGTGACCGGCCGCGGGTGACTCTGCGTGTCCGTGTGTGTGTGTGTGTGTGTGTGTGTCCCGCCCTTTCCGCCTCGGTGTCCCCGCGTCACTTGGCTCCGCGGGCTCCGGCTCCCGCCCGGCCCAGCGGGCAGTCCCCTCGGCCCCCTCCGGTGGGTTGGGGGCCGCTCCTCGACACCCCCAACCCGCCGCCGCTCTCCCGTGTCCCGCCTTCACCCCTCCGCGGCGCCCGGGCCTCGGCTCCCCGGGCAGGGGCAGCCCCGACACGGTGCTGCGCGCTGCCGGCCACCCCTCCCCGAGCCGTGCCCGGGCCCGGCGCCCCCCCGGGCCCCCCCGCCGCTGCCCCGGGGCCCCTTTGTTGTGGGCCCGGGGTTATGAATGGCTCCCAGGCGCGGCGCGAGGGCGCGCGGGGGGCGGGGGAGGGGGCGGGGCCGCGCGGCCGCGTGGGCGGGAGGAATCCGGCCGGGCCGCCCTCCCCCTCGAGCCACGTGGGGAGCCTGCGCCCCCTCCCTATTGGCCGCCGCCGCGGATGTCTGGGCGCTGGACGCGCTCCCATTGGCTACCTCCGCCGGAGGAGCCGAAGTGAATGAGGGCGAGGCCCCGCCCGCGGGACGTTGCTACATTGTAACTTCCCCCCCTCCCTCCCTCCCGCCCTCTCCCCCCCCCCCCCCCCCCCCCCGGTCGGGCGCTCTCACGGCAGCGCGCGGCGGCGGCCGGTTCGGCGGGTCCGGCCCCAAAGAAAAGGGGGGAGCGAGCGGCCTCCCCGCCCCTCGCCGCGGCCTCCGGGCCCGCACCCCGCCCCCAGACACCCCGCACAGCCCGAGCGAGCGGCGGCGAGGAGAAAGGGAAGGCGGCGGCAGGCAGGGCAGGCAGCCGCTTCCACCACCACCCCCCCCCCCCCCGCCGGCACCAGCGCCGCCTCCCCTCGCCCCGCCGGCAGCGGGAGAAGAACGGGAGGGTTTTTATTTTATTTTTTGTTAAATATTTTATTTATTTCGCCTGGGCCGCGGAGGGCCCGGCCGGTGCCAGCTCGGCCTCGGGGATCGCCTCCCCCCCCCCCGCCCTCCGCCACCACCCCCCTTCCCGGTCCCCCGCACGGAGCACTCGGAAGCGCAGCCGGAGTTCCCGTGGGCACCGCCGGGGCGAGCGGCGGAGCGGGCCCCGCTCCCTCCTTTGTCCGCTCCCCGCCCGCTCCCGCCTCGCCCCCCGGCACCGACCGCCGCTCCCCCCGCAGTTCGGCGGATGGACCCGCAGCCCGGCGCCAGGAGCTGCAGCCGCGGGGCTCCCGCTTGCGAGGCGCTCCCGAACGAGCCCCCCATGAACCTCTACATCAACACCACCACCGGGACCCGCTATGAGCTCTCCGTGCCCGCCGAGGAGACGGTGGAGGGGCTGAAGCGGCGGCTGTCCCAGCGGCTCAAGGTGCCCAAGGAGCGGCTGGCGCTGCTGCACAAAGAGAGGTAGGGCTCGGCTCGGGGGGGGGCCCGCCGGGGTCCCCATCCCCCCCCCCGGCAGCGGGGCTGGGCGCGGGGGCGGCCCCCTCGCACCGGGCTCGGCACCGCACAAAGGCTCCCGCCCCCCTTCCCCCCCTGCCTGGCCCCATTCCTCCGCGGGTCGGCGGGGGGGGGGGGGGGGGGAGCAGCCCGGGGGGCCGCGGGCGGGGGCGAGCCGGGGGCCGGGGCGGAGGGGGGAGGGAAGGGGGGGGCTCCGGGCCGTGCCGGGGACCGGAGCGCAGCCGCCTCCCCCTCGCCCGGCCCTTGCCGGGGCTTCCTTTGTGGGCGGCGGGCCCGGCCGTGCCCCGCGGGGGCCCTGCCCTTTGTTCTGGGCTCAACTTCGGCGGCGGCGCGGCCCGGCCCCCCCCGAGCCCCCAGCGCCGGGAGGGCCGGGGGCGGCTGCGGGGAGGGGGGGGGGGGTGTCGGTCCTTTGTTTGCCAAAAGGCCGGGGTGAGGGGGCTGTGCGGCCTCCCCCCACGAGTGGAGCGGAGCCCGAGTGGGGCCGGGCTGCCCTGCGCAGTGCTCAGCCCCAGCCTGGAGGAACTTGGAGAGTCTCGCCTGAAGCGGGGAGGGGGGGCCCGCGTACATTTGCCGGCACCTATGGGTTGGGGCGCAGGCACGTCTCCCCGTGCTGCCTCCCCCACCCCACGCTGGTCCCAGCTTCAATCCCACCCTCCTCCGTGGGCAGGTTTCCTGTGCTAGCCCCCCCGCAGCCCCTCGCTGGCTCCCTCGCCCCAATCGCTGCAGCACCCCTTTGCACAGAGCAGGGGTACCCTGGCACCGGCCCCCCCCTTGACGCAGGGGGCAGATGGGGACGAGGCTGTTGAGCAGTGGGGGGGCTGGGGTCCCCTCCTGCCCCTCAGGTGCTGGGTGCGGGGTGCATTGTGGGGGGCTTACTCCCCTGGGAGCAGCCAGGCATGCAGCTTGTGTGTGTCCCCCCGTGTCAGGTGAGTGTGGCCAGGGCCACGCTGACGCCGCCTCTGGCATTTCCCTCCTCTCCCCCACAGCCGCCTCAGCTCTGGAAAACTGCAGGACCTGGGGGTCGTGGAAGGAAGCAAGCTGACACTGGTGCCCACCGTGGAGGCCGGTTTAATGGTAAGAGGCCTTTTTCTGCGGCTCCCTCCCTCCCTCCCACTCGTCCCCATCTATTATTAAAGCCCCGGGCGAGGATGTGCTGGCAGCCCTGCGGCTCCGCTGCCCCAGCCCTCGCTGAGGAGGCAGCGCTGGGCTGGGCACGGCAGCAGGTTTAATATTTCACTGCTTTTCTCAGGGCTTGTGTAGAAATAGTGGAAGTGACATGTCATCCCTCCCCTCCTGCCGCACAGACGCCCCCTCCTTCTCTGCATTTGTAATGTTAATCCCCCCCTCCCCTCCTTTTTTTTTTTTTTTTTTTTTTTTTCTCTTCTTCCCTCCAGTCCCAGGCGTCCAGGCCAGAACAGTCGGTGATGCAAGCTCTGGAAAGCTTAACTGAAACTCAGGTGAGAGGCTTGATGCCGCGGCACCCCTGGAGACAAAGGAGGCTCCGTGGGGTGGGGGGAAGGGACTGCTGCGACCGGACTCCTCTTCCCCTGCCGAAAGGCTTTGGTGTTGAGTGCCCTGTTGGGGTTTCACCTTCAGAAGGGGTTGGGAGCGCTGAGGGTGGTGCCCGGGGCGGGCACCGTCATCCTGTGCAGCGCCCAGCGCAGGGAGGTCCCACGCTGCAGCGCTCGCAGCCCAAACAAGCCGGGAGCCGGGGAGGGCAGAGGCGCTGGGAGGTGAAGTGACTCATTCAAGGTCACGCAGCAGGTCGGCGACAGAGCCAGGCAGCCCCGGGCCCTGCCCCGGGGTGTGGGGACACAGCCCCCCCCCCCGGCAGCCGCCCACCCTGGGGTGCAGAGATGGGGCTGGCTCCCCGTGCCCCATGGTGGGGGGGTGCCGGGGGCTCGTGGGGCCACTGGGCCATGCTGGGGGGCTTGTGGGGCTGCAGAGCCCAGCTTTTCCTCCCAGCACCCTGAGGGCTTGCCCCCCTCTCCTTGGAGCCGTCCTTGGGGGGGGGGGGGGTGGGAGTTGGCCGTGCCTGGGCATTGTGGCAAACTCGGTGTGCGTTCTCGGTGGCCTTGGGCTGGGGCGCCGGGTGCCGAGGAGGGGGTGCGGCGGGGGGGGGGGGGCCTGTGTGTGTGGAGGGGGGGTGTTGGCAGTGCTGGCGGGGGCTGTGTTTAGAATAACTGTGAAGTTTCTTGGCGGCTGGCGGGGCGGCCTCCAGCGCGGGAGGTGTCACTGGAGGGGGGGTCCTCCACCCGCGGCGGGGGGGAGCGTTCCCAGGGCTGGGTGAGCCGCCGCGGGTGCGCGCGCAGCCGCCGGCCGCCTGCCGTGAAGGTGGAATTTACCCCCAGCCGTGCAGGCCCTGGCTTCTTTGTTTTCAGTCTCTTTATTATTGCTGTTAAACTCTTTCCTTCCTTTCCGGCCAATGCTGCAGCTTATTTTTTTAAAAGGGTTTTTTCTCTTTCTTCTTTTTTTTTTTTTTTTTTTTTTTTTTTTTTAAAAAAAAAACCTGCTTCACTGCATTTGGAGAAGGGGGCTGTGAGCCCCTACACTGTGCCATGGCTCGGACCGCGGGGGGCTTAGCAGGGGCACAGCCGTGCCCCCCATGGGGATGGAAGGCTGCCCTGTCCGTGGGGACCTTTGCTGACCCCTGGTGCCCTTGGCTGCCCGGGGTGACCTTGACTTTCAGCAGCTGGTTTAACCCTGTGTGGGCCAAGGGGATGAGCTGGGACCAGGAGTCCCACGCCAGAGGCTGGCTCCTGCCTCTCCCCTCCCCAGCCAGGCTCCCCATGGTGCCTGCTTTGCTCGCCCGTCCCAGCTGGGGTGCAGAGCTGCAGGAGGGGGGCTGGTTCTGGCAGCACAACCCAGGGGTCCTGGTGTGTGTCCTGCAGCCATTTCTGGCAGGGCTGTGCACACCCCCCAGGGGTGGGCAGCGAGGTGGGATGGACTGGGGAGCAGCAGGGCCAGGGAGCCCATGGAGCTGCCCGGAGCAGGGGGATTTGGGGTACCCCCTGCATCTGGGGGGGCAGCTGCTCCTGCAACGCCCAGCGTTGTTCCCATTGGGTGGGTGGCCACGGTCCCGCCAGCCATGCACGGCAGAGGGGAGGGGGTGTGTGGGGGGGTTACAGTCTGGTGGCCCTGGTTTTCCCCTCGGGGCTCTGCCAGGCGGGCCGGGGGTCTGGCAGCCCCAGCGTGCGGCGGCGCGGGCTGCGGGCAGCAGCTCCCTGCCCACTGCAGGTTCCTCCAGGGTGGTGATTCAGGAAACCGGGGCTGTGCAGGAGGAACCGCCAGCACCTGGGGGGGTGGAGGACTGAGGCGGGGGGGGGGGGGGTGGGGGGGGGTGGGGGGGAGCAGGAAACCACTCCTCTCATTCATGCTTTGCTCGGCTCTGCCTGCGTCACGCATCCTCTGGCAGCGCAGGGAGAGCTGTGCCGGCTTCCTCTGGGGGCGGCGAGGGGGGGGGGGCCGGGGCGCTGCCACCCCCTCCCCACCCAGGTGCCTTTGGGGAAGTGGCTGCCGGGCAGGAGGTGACGCTGCGGCCGGGGTCTTCCTGGAAGGGCTCGCTGTGCTTCCTTCCGCCCGGCACGCTTGGCGCCTGCCCCCGCTTTCCAGGGAGCCGCCGGCCCCGGCGCGGCAGCACCGCGGTGGGCAGCTGGTGTTTGAGCCCGCAGCTTCTTCCTTCCCCCGGTTGCAGAGCGCTGGGGGACGGCGGGGGGGGGGTGTGGGGGGGGGATGTGACATGGCACGGGGACACATCCTGCCTGGCCAGCCCGGGGCTGCGGCCAGAGGAATGTGGCTAGGGGGCTCTGGCCCTCTGCCCTCCTTGGCATGGAAAAACCCCCAGGCCACGGTGGGACCCGGCTGTCGGCCACAGCTGCACCCGGCTGGACGCCGTGACAGGAGGCTGGGGGGGGGGGACATTTCCTGCTCGCCCCCCCCCCCCCCCCCCGTCCTCAATCTGGCCTTGCCTTTCCCCTCCGGCTCTGCCAGGAGCCGAAGCAGGACAGTTTGCCTGTGTTTTTGGGGGGTGCTGCCTTCCCTACTGGGGGCTGCTCCCCTCCCCGGCGAGGGGGGGGCCCAGGGGTTTCTGGGGCTGGGGGCCGGGGTGACGCGGGGCCAGGCGTTGGAGCGAGGCGGGAATGCAGTGTTCTCTGAGTCATCGGCGTTTCTGAGAAGCAGCCGGGAGACACTTGCCCCATCCCTGCGGGCCCCCAGCCTGGCACGGTGCAGCCGTGTCCCCTCCCAGGGCTCGGTGGGTCCCGGCGGACCCCTGGGCCACGGCGGTTTGGGGGGGCCCGGTGGCCCCAGGCCTCTCAGCGGGGCTGTCCCAACCCTGGGGCTGGGAGGGACACGGGGTCCCTCCCGGCTGGCTGTGGGCGGCCAAGCGGGCGGCTGGGTGGGACATGTTTGCATTGGAGCGGCCTGGTTTCGCCGGGGGGGGGGGGGTTGGCAGGGGCGTGGGTGTGGGTGCCGGGAGCCCCAGAGCTGCGGTCCCACCAGGCCAGCCACCCTGCCCGGGGCACCGCCGGGACCCAGCCGGCTCCATGCCGCAGCTGAGCCCCCCTCCCCGGGGTAGGGGGGAGGCCGTGGGACCCCCGCCCTGGCCGAGGGAGGGGGGGAAAGGAAGGGGGTTATTTTTAGTGCCGCCGGGAAGCGCCCGGCAGCACGGGCTTGGCGTGGGTTTGGGGTGCTCTGGTTTCTCCCCGACGCTGGCGAGGGGTCAGGCAGGTGTGAGTCACATGGAGCGGTGAGGCGGCCTCGGGTGCCGGCTGACGTCAGGGGGGGGCCCCGGGGGGGGGGTGCGCGGGGCTCCCCCGAGCAAGGGTGGCCGGCAGTGATGGAGGGTGTGCGGGGCTGGGGTGGGTGCCCCCCCTGTGTGTGGGATGGGGCCAGGAGGGCTGCAAGAAGACGCCCCCCACACACACACTCAGGCTTTCGGTGGGGGGAAGGATGGAGCTGGGCTCTGCAGGGGGGGTGGGCCCCTTCCCCTCCGCGCCCTGTGGAGCTGGTTTAGGTGTGTGTGTGTGGGGGGGGGTGTCCTGTGGGGTCCCTGTAGTTGCCCCGTGGGGAATGTCCCACCTACACGGGCTCCGTGGGCAGGCGCTGCCTGCTGCCGCCTGCCCCGGCGCTGCTGCCCACGGGGGCTCCGTGCCGGAGTCGTGACGGCAGCGCCGGTGATGCCGAAGGGGCTGGTGTGGCTGGAGCCGGGGTGGTCGTGACCGAGCAGGGGGAGGGGGGAGGATGACATGGTGCTGTGTTCACCGGGAGATGGCGAGGAGGGGGGAAACACACACACACAGACACGGAGCTGCCGGTCGGATGTGTGTCCATCCCTGGCTGCTACGGGCAGGGAAACTGAGGCAGAGCCTGGGGGGGGGGGTGGGGGCAGGATGGGGGGGGCTGGGGTGCCGCTTTCCTGGGGCCAGGCGCTCTGTGCAGGCACACGCGTGTGCGCACACATGCCCATGCGCACGCCCGCCGTCCTCTCCCGCCCCCTCGCCCCGTAACCTCCGTGTCCAGAGCTGCAGTGTCTCCTTCACGCCCACCTCTTCCTCTGCAGCCTCCGCCTGACACGCTCGGGGCTTTGCTGCTGGTATTTTTAAAGCTGCTTTTCCCACGGCTTCTCAGAACCGGCCTCCGCTGGAACGGGGCGCGGGGGAGCTGGGCCGGTGGGGGGGGGCGGGGGGGGGGGGCCGTGCCCTGCAGAAGTGCTGGCCTGTGGCAGCGGCTGGGGAGGGGGTGGGGGGGGAGTGGGGGAGCGCAGCGCCGCAGGGACCGGCTGCACCCCAAAGGGGTTGGGGGGGTTGTAGGGGGGTGTGTGTGTGTGTGTGACGTCTGCTGTAGCTGTGCATGGCGCTGCACGTGACGGGCTGGGGACACCAGTGCTTGGCTGGCGGCGGGGGGGGGGCGGTGGTGGCGTCATCCCCATTAGCTGTGACCCGGTGTCCTGCCCACGGCACCGCCTGTGTGGCTGGACTGGACGGGGTGGGGGGGTGGGGGAGAGGCGCGCACACACACACACACACACACCGACTCCCCCCCAAATTCCTCCCCCCCTCCATGGCAGCACATGCAGAGGCGTGGGGGGGAAGTACCGTGGGGGGGGGGGGTGTGGAATGTGGAGGGATGCTCAGCAGAGCTGGGGGGGCTCCCCTGTTCCCTGGCGCAGATGTAGAGTGATTTATGTATCTGGTGGGGGCTGAATGGGGAGGGGGGGGGGAATGGAGCAGGTGTTGGGGATTGGGGGGCCCTCCCCTCCTCTCCCCTCCCAGGTCCTGAGCAGGGTCAGGCCCCTGCTCTTGTCTGGGCGCTGCAGCTGCTCCATCACCTGCCCACGACGGAGCCTCAGGGGGTGGGGGGCAGGAGCAATCCTGCAGCTGCCCCCCCCCCCCTCCTTGGGCTGCCTTTTGGGTGGGGGGGGAGGTGGGCTGCCCTCCTCTGCCTTTCCTGCCTGATAGCCCCAAATCATGGCCGTGGGCATGGCAGGGACCTGGCGTGTCCTCACCTGCCCCCCCCCCTCCCCCCCAGCCTCCTGGCAAGGGAGCTCGCTCCCTGTGCTGGGGAGGGCAGCCCCCCCCTCCCACTGCTCCCCATGCTGGCACTGGGCTGGCCGGAGGAGCGGCGCTGGCCCGGGGGGGTGGGTGTGCAGCTGCACCACAGCCCCTGCCTGGCCCTGCCTGCTGGGCTGTGGCTGCTTTGCTGCTGGGGGGGCACGGCACAGCCGTTTTGTGCTGGGAAAGTCTGGAGAGGGCAGGAGGGAGAAAAAAAATGCACACACCCCGCCCCCCCCTCAGTGCTGTCAGCTGGTGGAGCTTCAGGCTGGGGTCGTGCGGGGACGGTGGCCGGTCTGGCCCCCCCAGGAAATGGTGCCCTAGTGACCCGTCCCCACGGCCGCATGGCCCCGGGGTTGGGGGGGGATACCCTGCAGGGGCAACAGCCCTCCCCCTGCTCGGCAGCAGGGATGGGGGGGGGGGCTCGCTGTGTGCGGGGGGCTGACGGCGGGGGTGGGGTGTCTCCTTCTCTTCTCTCCCCAGGTCAACGACTTCTTGTCGGGCCGGTCCCCGCTGACCCTGGCCCTGCGCGTGGGCGACCATATGATGTTCGTGCAGCTCCAGCTGGCAGCTCAGCAGAGCAGCGGGCAGCTCCAGCACCGGCACGTCATCGCCAGCCGCGGCGAGGCGGGGGCCGCCGCCAGCCCCCACTGCCGGACGCTGCACGGCAGCACCGGCTCCGGTTTCGCCCGTATCCCCGTGGTGCCAGCCTGCCAGCAGAGCCCGGCCCCCAGCCCCTCCGCCCCCGCCGCGCCAGCCCCCCCCATGTACTGTAACGCCCCCCACCCCGCTCCCGTCACCGCCGGGATGTTCCGGTCGCACGGGGCCAGCGCGCAGACGGTGAACAGCAGCGTGGTCTCCTCCTGCTCTGAGGTGAGTCGGGTCTGGGGGCTCCCGGTGCCTTTTGGGGGGGGTGGAGGGGGAGAGGTGAAGCCATGCAGTTCTCAGCCTCACTGTGCCGATGCCCTTCTCCTGCCTCAGTTTCCCCACACGTGGAACAAGAAGGTTCCCTTGCCCAGTTTGCAAAATGCCCCCAGGTCCCAGGGCAGGGGGGGGGACTGCCTTGTCACCGCTTGCTGCTGCTGCTTCTCCTCTCACCCCACCTCACACAGCACAGCTGGCCGGGGCAGGGGGGTGTGTGTGTGACCACCAGGACCCCCAGGGCTGGGGACACCAGTGCACAGAGGGGTGGGACAGTCCCAGTTCCTTGCGTCCCAGTAAAACTGGGGCCGGTGCTGCCTGCTGGACCCTGCTCCCTGCCCGCTGTGGGGGGGGGTCTCCTGGTGTGACCTGGCTGTTTGTGGGGGGCCGAAGGCCAACCCTTGCCCCCCCCCCCCCCCAGCACACCTGGGTCCCCTGCCCGGAGGCTGATGGGTGTCTCTCCTTCCCCCCCACCCAGGTGGAGTGCGGCACCCGCAGCGGCAGCTCCCCGGGGGGCAGCCCTGCCCCCACGGCCCGGTCCCGCAAACCCGGCGCCGTCATCGAGAGCTTCGTCAACCACGCGCCTGGGGTCTTCTCAGGGACCTTCTCCGGTACGTGGTGCTGAGATGGGGGGGGGGAGGTGTGAGTCTGGGGGGGGGGGTCGGGGAGCTCTGCGAGTCTCACACCCACTTTACTCCCCCTCTTCCAACCCCGCAGGCACTTTGCACCCCAACTGCCAGGACAGCAGCGGGCGGCCGCGGCGGGACATCGGCACCATCCTGCAGATCCTGAACGACCTCCTCAGCGCCACGCGACACTACCAGGGCATGCCCCAGTCCCTGACGCAGCTCCGCTGCCAGACGCAGTTCTCTTCCTCCTCCTCCTCCTCCTCCTCCTCTTCCTCCTCGCCCCCCGCCTCCCCGGACCTCGCCACCAAAACTACCTCAGAGCCGCTGCCGGCGGCCGCGGCCTCCCCGCCCCTGCACCCCGTCGTCCAGTGCCAAAGCCAGATCCGGATGTGCAAGCCCAGCGGTAAGCCCGGCTGCCTCCGCACTGAGGGGGGGTGGGGGGGCGTTTGGGGGGGTGTGGGGGGCTGTGTGTGTGTGTTGTTCCTGCTGCCAGCCCCCGGGGTCACCACGACCAGCCGCCCTGCCCGGTGCCAGGGTTTGTGTTCGGCACCTCTGTTCGGCGTCCTGGGATGGGCAGAGAGGGGCTGGGGAGCCCCTGCAGCCCCCTAGGCCGGAGCTGATGCCCCCCCCACCACCACCTTTTTGGTTTTTTTGCACGGGATCACTCCCCACAACACCCCCCTGGAGCCCGGTGCTGGGGTCACTTTGGGCTTTATATATAAATTATTTTTCCCTGTAACGACTGGCCACTTGCTGCTTGCTCAGCAGAGCACCCGTGGGGGGGTGGCAGCAGGGTGGGTGAGGGCGGGGCCCCCCCATCCTCCCCCTTGGCCAGGGGGGGCTGAATGATTGACAGGTGTCACTCAGGGTGAGGGCCCGGTTGGCTCCGCTGTGGAGAGAAAGGGGGGGCGGGGGGGGGGCTGGGGGTGTCCCGGCAGCGTGTGGCCGCAGTGTCCCCATCTCTGTCCCCAGGGAGCTCGGGGCCTGTCCCTGCTGTATGGGCGGAGGTTTTGGGGGCGGACAGACACCCCCAGACTCTGGCTCCTCGCCCACCTCCCCATTCCCAAACCTAGCAGCCCGGGCTGGAGGTGAAGGTGGGTTTGGGAAGAGGGGCAGACCCCCCCACCGGGGCGTGCCAGGCAGCTCCCATGGCCCCCCCGGGCGGTTGTGGGGTGCACACCTGCGCGCCCCGAGGCCGGAAGGCGCCCAGAGGTGCCCGCCCCGGCCCCCCCCCCTCCACGATTTGCTTAGAGAAAAGAAGTGAAACTGCTGGTGCCGGCGGAGGGGGGGGGGGCTCGCCCTCCCCCTCTGGGTTTTCTCTTCCTTCTCTCCCGGCCAAGGGGGATTCGGGCCCCCCCGGGGGTGGCTCCGTGCCAGCTCCCAGCCCTCGGTGACGTGGGTGACCCTTCCCTGGGGCCACCCCCCCCTCACGGTGGGGTGCATCGGTGGGGGGAAAACCTGCCCACTCCCACGCCCCCCCCATCTGGGCTCACCCCACTTGGCCTGAGCCCCCCCACACCCCTTCGACCCCTTTGCTTGTTTTTGTACCAGTGTGAAATTCCCAGCAAGGTGGGGGGGAGACACCCCCAAACCTCGCACCAGTGTCCAGCCCCAGTGGTGCCTGTGCCGGGGCCACCTGCACGGCACGGCTCTGTGCCGAGACCCCTTCCCCTGCTCCAGGGGGGGCTTGTTTGAGTTTTTAGAGGGGGGCTGTCCCCCTGCACCCCCGCTCTGTGCCCCCTATTTCTGACATGCATTGCGGCTGCGCAGGGCTGCCCCCACCGAGTCTGGGGGGGCTGTGGTGGGCTCTGTCCCTGTCCCTCGGGACCCGCTCAGGTCCCTGTTGTGCCGGGCAGGGATTGCTGGGGCACGCTGTGCCTCGAGCCTCCCCCCCCCCCCCATTTTGGATGGGGGGGGCCGGACGGGGGCTTTTCCGGCCGTGTTGGACCAGCTGTGTTCTCTGTACCCCTGTCCCACGGTGGCTGCGTGGGGGAAACTGAGGCAGGAGGGAAGCAGAGCCTGCTCTGTGTGGCTTTGCTGTGTCCTGAGACACCCCCCCCCTTCCGCCCCAACCCCGCCGCTGCAGATGGGGGGTTTGGTGCCCCCAGCGCCCCCCACCCCCCCCGCCGCAGCCGCTCTCCCGGCCAAGTTTGTTCTGGAGCGGGATCCCTTTTTTTCCTCTTTTCCCAGCGCCGGAGCCCACGTCTGGAGCTTCAATTGTTCGTCCTCCCACGCGCCGCAGCGGGGCCAGGCCCGTGCCGGCTGCCGTGCCGCGGCGAGGAGGCTGGGGGGGGGGCAGCGGGGCACACACCCCCCCCCCCCCCCCCCCGTCCCTTCCCCATAGCACCCCAGACAAAGGGTCTTCCCGGGCTGTTGGGGACCCAGCGCCGCCTTTGCCGTTGCAGGGGACCGCTTGCGGCAGACGGAGAACCGGGCGACGCGGTGCAAGGTGGAGCGGCTGCAGCTGCTGATGCAGCAGAAGCGGCTGCGCCGGAAGGCTCGCCGGGACGCCCGCGGGCCCTACCACTGGCTGCCCAACCGCAAGGCCGCCCGCACCAACAGCAACAGCAGCGTCTCCAGCGAGGGCAGCCTGGACCTCGACTTCGAGGACTCGGTCTGGAAGCCGGAGGTCAAGGCGGACATGAAATCCGAGTTTGTCGTAGCATAGAAGCCGTGCCCCCGGGGGCGGGGAGGGGGTGTGGGGGGGTGGGGTGTAGGGGGGGGGCGTTTTGGGGGTTTTTGAGGGGGGCTCACACACACACACACACACACACACGGGGCTCTGCCGGAGGGGGGGGGGGGGCAGACTCTGATGGGGGGGTGGCCCCCCCCTCCTCCCGCCGCCCCGGCTGGCGGTGGTGTCATTTCTGTTGTCATGGGCCAGATCTCCTCTAGATTTGCCATCTCCTGCGACCCCGACCCTGCCCGCACCGGGGGAAGCGTTTCACTGGGGGGGGGGGGTGCAGATTCACACATACACACCCCCACACACACACACACCCCCCCCATCCCCAGCTTGGTTGGGTTCGGGGACACGGAGCGGGGGAGCAGGCAGGAGCCGCCAGCCCCCTCCCACAACCTCCCCAGCTGGGATCGAGGGGGTCCCGGCCCCCTGGGGGGGGGGGTCCCTGGGGGATATCAAAGCTGCTGCTTTGCTGTGAAGAGGGGTGCAGTGGGGGGGGGCTCTGGCCCCCCAGCATCGGTTCCCCCCCCCCCCGCCCCCCGGTGCAAGCAGGAGGAGATGAAGTCTCTTTCGGAGGTGCTGGGGCCCCCCCCAGGTTTGGGGGCCATTTGTTTTCCTTCCCTTCTATATGTAGCATTGCTCGGCTGCGGGGCTGGGCCCCCCCCGGGCGGCTGGGGGGGACACGCATGTGCCTGGGTGCCGCTGGCCCCGCTGCCGCAGCCAGGGTTGGGGGGGGGGGGGGGGGGGGGGGGCTTTGTTTTGGGGTGGGTTTTCATTTTGATTTTGGAGGGAGAAGAAATGGCGCCTTCCCTCCGTGGCTGAGACCAACTTCCGAGTCGCTGGACTCTTTCCCGCCTGCCTCTTGGTTGGTTGGATTTTCTTTTCTAACTTAAAAAAGGAGAAGAGGAAAAAAAAAAAAAAAAAAAAAAAAAAAGAATAAATAAACCCAGTACTCGGTCATGGCTGTCCGCAAGCCGTGGGGCTAATATTTATAGACATTAATTACCCGACTGAGCCAATACTGACATAGTCTTGCATAGGCCGTAGAAATCCTTTTTCTTGTCCGACTTTGATTTTTTTCGTCAGGAGATCTGTGCAAATAGAGAACCCATGTGATGTGTTTTTTGTCTGTAAAAGTCTTTTTTTGTGTGTTTCGGGGAGGGGGGGTGGGGGGGAGAGCGAGGCTTTCGGTCTTTAATATTTTATTTTTTATTTTTGAAATAAATTTGGGCAGTCTGGATGCAACCGTGCCTGCTGTTGCTGTTGGGGGAGGGGGGACGGGGGGGCTGTGCAGGGACAGCCAGGCACCCCGTCCTTTAAAAGTCATCAACCTCTGTGCACATGTGTGTTCAGCATGACACTTGCACATGTATGGCCATGCACATACGTGCACAGGTGTTGCCATGCACATATGTCCACACCTAAGGCCATGCACAGGTGCACATCCCTAGGCCCGACCTCACAGACGTGTTCCCCACTGCACACACGTGCATGCAGCCATGCACAGCTGCACACGTGTGTGCCCAGCTCTGCACATACGTCCACATACCAGTGCACAGCTGCACACGTGTGTGCCCAGCTCTGCACATACATCCACATACCAGTGCACAGCTGCACATGCGTGTGCCCAGCTCTGCATACGTCCACATACCAGTGCACAGCTGCACATGCGTGTGTCCAGCTCTGCACACACATTCACATACCAGTGCACAGCTGCACACGTGTGTGCCCAGCTCTGCACATACGTCCACATACCAGTGCACAGCTGCACACGTGTGTGCCCAGCTCTGCACATGCATCCACATACCAGCTGCATATGCGTGTGTCCAGCTCTGCACATGCATCCACATACCAGTGCACAGCTGCACACGTGCCCAGCTCTGCACACGCATCCACATACCAGTGCACAGCTGCACATGCGTGTGTCCAGCTCTGCACATGCATCCACATACCAGTGCACAGCTGCACATGCGTGTGTCCAGCTCTGCACACGCATCCACATACCAGTGCACAGCTGCACGCACGTGTGCCCAGCTCTGCACATACATCCATGTCCCAGTGTGCACACCCGGCTCCGTGGAAGGACGGGGGCACCCAAAAGCGCTGGGGGTGCAGTGACGGAGCTGCCCCATCCCCCGGGAAGGGGGACCTGGGGTCTCCTCGCCCCGCGCACCCATCCCGGCAGCCGGCTGCGGGGACGTGCCGGGGCCGGCGTTCCCAGCCCTCTCCGGGTGCCGGACCCCGGCCCGTGGGGCTGCGCGGCGCTCGCCCGACCGGGTGCGCCCGGTCCCGGCCGTGCCGACGTGCTCGGCCGCTGCGGCGAGGAGCCGGGCCGGTTCCACCAGCCGGGCTGGCCGTGGGTGCTGGCACCCTTCCTCCCGGCCCTCCTGCGTCACAGCGGGGTGGCCACGGGCTGGGGCGGAGGGGCTGGTGGCCACGAACCCGCTGCCGCCCCGACGCCCCGGTTCAATCCCCCGGGGCCCGGCACGGCCGTGCCTCAGTTTCCCCACCCGCAGCCGCAGGTTTGTTTCCCCGCCCCGGGGAAGGTGACGGGTGGGGATGGCCCTGGGGACACCTGTCAGCACCAGCCCACCCGCGGGGGTCCCGCTTCCCCCCCACCCCTTCAGCCCCTGGGGGGAGAGCTCCCTGGGGTTCCCCGGGAAGAAACAAGGGGCCCATGGGGCTCAGGGTGTCGGTGGCTGCGTGGGAACGCTGTGGGCTGGAGCACCCCCCCGTGCTGCCCAGCACGGTGACACGGTGGGCACCGGCACCCCCTGGGGAATGGGGGGGGCTGAGCTGTGGGACTGTTATTTGGGGAGGGGGCAGGAGTGGCTGCGCGTGTCCCCTGTGCCTGTCCCCGTCCAGCCCAGTCCCTGCACCCCAGGAACTTGGCGGAATGGGGGAAGTGAGGAGGGGGGATGATCTGAAGCCCCACGGGGGACCCAGCACCCCACAGCCAGGACAGAACGGCCTTTCCCATGGAGGAACCCCCCCCGGGGGGGCCTGGCCGTGCGGCTGGGGGGGCTTTGCCGGACTCCGAGCCCCCGGGGGCGGCCGAGCGGCGGAGGAAGCCGAGCCCGGGAGAGGAAGTGGCTCAGGTTCCTGCGGTGACATGTGCCACACCGGGCGCCCCGCTGCCCGCGCCCCGCTTTGACGTCATTTCGGGTAGAGCGCGCCCTGGGCCACCCCCCCCCCCCGGCACCCCCCCCCGACACCCCTGGCCCACGCCGCTCACGCCAAATTTGGCAACGGGAAGAGGAGCCGCTCGCCGCGCCGGGAGCGGGCGGCAGAGGCCTTTTAAGGCAATGGCTGCCCGGCCGGGCACGCGTGGGACACACACACACATGCGTGGGACACACACACACACGTGTTGCACGCTCACGCCTGCCTCTTTGCACATGGGGGGGCACGCTCATGCCCGGCCACCGGCGTGCACACGCTTGTGCGCAGTGGGATGCACTGCACTAGGGGGGGGGGGGACAGACACAAACGGTCACACTGCGGGGGGGGTCCCCTGGGGACTCTGACACACCCCCCCAGCCCAGCCTGGGGGTCCTGATGTCGGGTCCCAGCCCACAGGCTCAGCTCGGGGGTGGGGGGTCCTGGGGGGACCGGGGGGAGCAGCGGGGATGGGGCAGGGTCAGTGGCGTGGGGGTGCGAGCTGCACGTGGGATGGGCCTGGCTCTGAAGCACAGCACAGGATGGCACCGTGTGGCATTGCATGGCCCAGTATGGCCCAGCACGGCACAGTATTGCACGGCACAGCACGGCATGGCACAGTATAGCCCAGCGCGGTCCAGTATGGCCCAGCACAGCACAACATTGCATGGCACAGTATGGCATGGCACAGCATGGCACAGCACGGCGTGGCCCAGTATGGCCCAGCACAGCCCAGTATGGCCCAGCACAGCCCAGTATGGCCCAGCACGGCCCAGCACGGCCCAGCACGGCCCAGCACACCACAGCAGGAGGTGTCTGCGGCGCCACGGGAGGCAAGCTGGGACACGGGGCGCCGCATCGCGCCACGGCACCGGGGTGACATCACCGCGCCCGGGGCCGGCAGATGCTGGTGATAAAGTGGGGGGGTCGCTGGGGGGGGGCCGGGCAGAGCCAAACTGGCTGCCCAGCCCCGGCACCTGGGCGCTACGCACCCACCACACCCCATCTTGCCTCCTCCTCCTCCTCGCTGCCCCCAGTCCTGGCCCCCCACCCTGCCCCGGTGCTGCTGTGGGGCCAGCCCCATGCCGGCGAGGCTGCACTCATCCCAGTCCTCCCAGTATGGAGCAATCCGGCAGCGCCAGTGTCGCGCCTTTGGTGTGGTGCCCGCTGGGGAGGGGGGTGGGGGGTGTCACCCTGCGGGTGTGCGTCCGTGCGCGCTGGCGGGTGCTTGCACAGGGTGGGGGATGCGCACGGGTGGGTGTTTGGGGGGGGTCTGCATGCATGGGGGGGGGGGCTGTGTACGGGGAGGGGGTGGTTGTGCATGCAGAGATGTGCACACACGTGTGCAAACACACACTCCCTGCACACACACACACACACACACCCCCGCTGTGTCTTGGCCCCCGGGGGGGGGATGATTGTGCCCTGGGCTTGGATGTGCAGGGCTGCAGGGCCTGGCAGGGAGCGGGTGCCCCCCCAGCACCCCGGGGATGGCCCCAGGGTACAGCCCGTGGCAAACACCCAGTGAGCACCCGGTGAACAACCAGTGAACACCCAGAGAACACCCAGCAAACACCCGGTGAGCACCCAGTGAGCACCCAGCAAACACCCAGTGAGCACCCAGTGAACACCTCGGTGGGGCCGTGGCCACCAGCCTGCGGCAGATAGTTGCCCTCAGCAGCGTGGCCGTGGCAGGGTGACCTGACCCGTGGTGGCTGTGGGTGCCACCCAGCACAGGATGGGGACCCCCAGGGCCCCCCCCCCCCCCCCCCCCCCGAGTCATGGCCAGCGGGTGCGGGCGGGTTGGAGCGAGTGCACAGCCCCCCCCCCCACCCCGCCCCCACAGCGCAGGGTGCGCCCAGGAAACACCCACAGTGGGTGAGCAGCTGGCAGCTCCCACGGCC